GCGCCGGCGGCGCGGGGAGCAGCGGCGCCGGCCGGGCAGAGCCCCGCGAGGCCCCTGCCCTGCCTCTCAGATCACCCGTTGGAGTGTTCGCCGTTTCCTCGGGCGCGGGAACAGTTACACGGCCAAGCGGCTTCACTCCGGCACTCGTGTGGCTCTGCCCGGCTTTGGGGTGACAGTCAACGGGAAGCGATACAAGGTGCTCCATAGAGATACCTGGGCTATATATGTATCACTCCATTCTCCCTCTGTGCACGTGGGTTCGTATACATGTGTCCCGTGAGATTTCCCCAAAATGCTCCCTTACCTGGGATCCAGCCCCCTGTGAGAAACAGGGAGTCCTGTGCCCAGACTCCAGCGCCAGAGCTTGTGCTGCAGCAAGAGATGCTCCTCGTCGTGTTGTGACAAGCTGCCACGTTAGGGACACGCAGTATTTTATCGTGCTGGATTCCCTCAAACACAAACGCTTTGGAAAACACACACTCGGCTCGTGCTGGAAGCTAGACTTGCAAGGATGGCGAGTGCGTTTTCATGCCTGTTTCTGAGCTCCTTCTAAATTAGGAAGAGGCTGCTTGGGGGATGTGGGGCTCGTCCTTGTCTAATGACATGTGCTGCTGGGATTATCGTCACTCTAGGATGCCAGTCGGTTTTTGCGGAATGAAAATCCTGCAGCCCGTTGCGTGAACAGACTCATCTCTCTCATCCAGAAGGTGCTAAGGGGATGGATTTGGAGAAAAACAGCAGTTAGATGTGAAAAGCCATCACTGAGGGACTCATCTATTCATCTACTGAGCGGAAATCCTTTCGGGGAGCTCCACTGCAGCGCCCGTGGCGACACCGCAGAGCATGGGGCTGCACGGCTGCTTGGCTTCGTTAGCCATCAGCCTATACATATTACATATATACATATATCTGTGTGTGTATTGCCAAGCAGGGTCAGGCGCCCATTCGCGCGGTCCCAGGCAGGAGCCGGGCGATTTCCCGAGCGTGGCCGTGCGTTTCCTCTCCGTATCCAAGCGGCTCCTCACACAGCAGGGCTGGGTCAGGCCACGTGCCAGGCAGTGCTGAGACAGATGCTAAAACCAACCACTAGTCTCTAGTCTCAAAGCTTTTTTTTTTTTTTTAATCAAATAAAATCTACAAAACAAAAACCCCATAAATTGCTCCTTCAAAACCCGGAGATCCTCAAGAGTTCCGGTTCGTTCTCTTCCGAATGATCTTTCCCCTTGTTCTTCCGCAGAAGAGCATTTTGCCTGGTCATAACCCTCTTCTCCCTCCTTACTCCAGCTTCTGTCCCACAGAAACAGGTGGGGTTTATATGGACAAACTGAAAAGAGGTTTAAAAGGTGCCTCTAAGACCTGTCCTAGATCCTAAGGAATATTTACAGGAAAGCACCCGGCCCACGCTGCCCTGAGCAGGTGGCATCCGCGTTCTGCAACCAAAACGCTGCCTTCAACCCTGCTGCTCGGGGCGTTATTCGTCATTAAGCAAAAACAACATTTACAGCTGCCTTTGCGCTGCAAATAATTCCATCTGGGCAATGAAACGATCCCATTCAGCTTTTGTGCCTGCGTTTTGTCAACTGCTCTATGTTGCACTTTGTATTTATGGACCAGGGCACTAGGCTGGCTGGCTTGGTAATTTATTGCTTAAAATGTTTATAGCGTTTCAGCTCCCAGCAAGGGTTCTGTTTGGTAAGAATAATATTGTTCGGAGGCTGAGAGAGCAGAAATTTCACAGAGGCAAATTCCAATTTTGTAAGATTAAAATATATAGATTTCTGCAACAGACTGTAATGATTTTAAAGGAAGCTTTTTATTACTATGTCTGTACAGGAAAAAAAAAAAATCTCATTATGGAGAGGCACGTGATTTCACAGTGATCAGGTCTATTTTGTGATGCCCAGACTCTCATACTTCAAGCAAAAAGACTTGCCAAATAGATTTTCAATCGCCTCTTAGGCTGGCACTAAAAGCAGAAACCCAGCTGCAAAAAGACCCAGAGAGAAAGGAGGGAGCGAAACCCCGGACTAAGACGCGGCTTTGCTCACAGCGCTCCCAAATCCCGTTCTTTGGACGCCCTGTGCCCTGCATCCCAGCGGGAGATGCCGCGGCTGCGGGTACCGGTCCCTGCGCCCGGGGGGACGGACGCTTCCCGCTACAAGAACCCACTCTCCGGTGCTAATAAAACGGTGCCCAGCTTGGCCTGAGGTGAGATTTTCCATGCCAGATGGTCTTTCCTTACAAGACTTTCCTTCTTCATTCACGGAGCCTGCAAATAAACAGGCTGCAGCAATGGCAGTTTCAATAAATCCGACCTTTCAGCCGTGAGTTTTCTGGCTGCACTTAGCTCCAGCTGCCGTCTTAATCACATCTTATTATTTCGTGCTCTGCTATGTGCCAGCTCGCTCTTTAAGGGAGAAATGCTGCCATATGTTGTTGATTAATAAAAATGCGGGGAAAAGTAGTCATTAGGGAAAGCCTACGGAGCAGGGTATTTTTAAAATGAACTTTTATGTTGTGGGAAAACATGTCGTCGTCCCCCACCAAATCACCAACACTCGATAATGAAACAGATGCGTTTATACAGATCACATATTGCCTGCTGTGGGCTCATTTTAGAAACCGCATGCCCCCAAATACCCACATGCAGCAAAAACCCCCAGGGAAAAACCCTCTGCTGGGGCAAAGTGCCCTGGTTCAGTGCAAGGGACAGCAGCACTGATGCTAACGGAGGAGCTTTGAATCCTCCCCCGGCGCCGTGACGGGGAAATCCCTCCTTCCTGGCTCCGTGGGAGGAAACGCAAACCCCCGGCTGGGGAGAAGGGCGGAAAACGCGGGATGTTCAGGCGGGGGAATGGGCGAGAGGCAGCGGGCGGACGGGCTGGAGAGCCGCGGCCGGGGACACTGCACCGTGCCGGGGCTGCGGTGGCACCAAAGCCAGCGCATCCGCGTCGCCACCACCTGTTCCCAGGGCAGGGACGTGGGGACGGGAGGTTTCATCCTCTGCCATCCGCAGGGTTAGGGCTGAGGGAGAGCTCGGTCACGACGCGTGTCTGCTACCAGCAGCGTCGTGGGCACGAGCTGCTCCTCACGTCGGAAGGAACAGGAGCAGCCCTGGAACATCCGTGTCTGATTTGTGCCGAGCACCTTCCTCGCTCCCTTGGCAGTAACTCCCTGCACCCATCAGAACCAGCTCCTCGTAGCTGTGACGGATCTGGGCTGGTGACACAACGCAAGCTCACAGGGAGGCTCT